GCAGGGAGTAAACAACAGAAATAAAAAATTTTGCATGAAAAAAATTACATTGAAAAAAAAAATCAGGATATCTGTCAGTAACTTGCTGCCCAATTAATTTTCCTTTTTCGTGGTGTTATTCAAAATTCAGCATGAATGGATCCTATATTCAGTAGAATCTAGATATCATTATTGTAGCATAGATTTCTCATGGAACATTAAGGAAAACATTGCATCCAATATCTCCTTTGTTCCAATCAATTTATAATGAAGGAAAGAGCTGATATGTTTATATGGTATTTAACATGCGTTAAGCATAGGTCCATGCATGTTTCGAGCAACTTGTTGTAATCTCAAAACTTCAGATATATTTGAGACTAAAAGATTTTTTAAATTAATTAATCTAAGCAACAAAAGTCTAGATCCTTTGCATGCCTTGTACTGTAGTGTACTTTCATTTTGTTAATTCTAAATGCCAACTTTTAACTCATCGTACTAAAAAGCAAAACCATTGAGCAAAAATACTTCAAGCATGTAGATAATAGTAAGTGCACAAAAACCACCAACCATGTAGCTAACCACTGACCATATATGATCCAGCTGTTTTAACAAAAGACAATATCATAAAAGCAGATATGCATGCCATGTCTACAAAACCAAGTTTTCTTTTTTTTTTTCTTTTTTACCTTACGAGGTAAAACAAGTTATCATTTATTATAGAGGCCCGCCAAAAGTATATACAAACAATGAAAGCAGCCAATGAGGAAGAGAAGCAAACAACAGTACAAGTCTGCTTCTTATCTGATAAAAGCCATTCCTTGCTCAAACTTAAAATTCAGACCTCAATACTAACATCAGATTCCTAACAAATAAGAAATGCACTTAATATGAATGAATTAGTCTTTCAAATTAAAAAGAAACAAATACTTGTAACTACACTTTGTACCAGGAAACCTTCTGGAAGTTTTACTCTTTTGTGCCTCTAAAAGCCATGATTGAGGAAGCCGGGAAACATGCTTCTTCTTCCCAGAAAGAGTTCTTGAGTCCTTCACAAGCATATGGTCATCAAAGGCCGGTGACCAAAAATTTCTATCAGTTCCTGTGTTATTTCTCCTCAAGCGTGACTTCTTCATACCATATTCCCTAGAAGCATCTTGAAGAGCAATTCCACCCAACTTCTCTACAGTTTCATCAAAAGAATTATCAGATGAACTATCATCATCTGATTCATCTAGAGCCTGCTCCAACAACCACTTGGTATCCACGACATTGCTGCTCCCGCCAATTCCCTGCAGGTAATCTTCTGCCACCTCATCATCAATATCTAAATCACTATCCGATATGTCTTCGGAGCTATCAATTTCAGATAATCCAATCTCTTCCCTTGGTTGAGATGATTCTGAGCTTTCATCATCTACTGACTCGTTATCATCAGGATCAATATCAACATCATCATCATCACTTTCTCCATCAGATATATCCTGCGTGTATAATTTCATGCCTCCGATGGATAAAAATCCTGAATTCTTTTTGGGAGATAAATTCTCAGCCATCATTTCTTCCACAACCACGCCTTCCTCACAGTTACTACCCTCATCCACATCCCTCTCATTCTCAGAAGAAAATGAAGCAGAAGAGAAGCCATCTTGCTCTGCCATTTGCTTGGAAGAGGATCCCATACCATCTGGACTTGTCTCATCATTGAAGAATCCCAAACCTCTATGTGAGACATCACCTAGCACAAAATCTGAACTGTATTCATAAGTATAATTTACATCCTTAGCCCTTGAAGGCGGTGTTTCATCTAGGTAAGCAACAATTTGAGTCTCCTTAGAACCTAATAAAATAATAGGATGTTTCTCTTTCATATTATCACCTCCATCATCATTCCCTCCACACTTTTCTTGGGGCAAACCCTCCTGCAGAAAAGAAAAGCCAGGGGACAATTTAATTCAAAGTGAATTGGAATTCAAATTGCTCAATTGATCTTTACAACTTCTATGTTATTTGCAACCAGATAACAAAGGAAAATAATCAGCAATGCACCGAAAATTGTTGGAGACAAAAATAATTTTGATTATCCTGTTTAATTTGACAGATACGGAAATGAAGCTTAAAAGGGAATCATTACATTTCTTCAGGTTGCAGAGCAGAAAGCAGAAGCATTCAGCACTTATCAAGCTAGAAGGCATTTCAATCTAACTAAAAAGTCACTTCAGAAAACGATGAACTTCATCCAATATACTTAAGCACTTAGATAACAACGAGCTTGTCATTTACCTCAGAAATGTCAATTTTCGTTTCAGAAAATAGATAATAGTTACTTTAAGCAATTAAACCAAATTTTTAGAATTGAACTTTTCGGTAAAAAAAAAAAAAAAATCAAAGTACCTGACTATTAACAGAAGGGTATCTATACCCAAAAGTATTTCCATTAGATTTCCTTGGTCCAGTTTTGGAAGCTGAAGCTTTTGCTGAATCAGATTTCGACCCCGAATTATGGTTTCTATTGGAATTCCTTCCTGCAATTCATTGTGATCAAACATAGGAAACTATATGATCACTTGTGATCAAACATAGGAACCAAACTCATCGTGAGCCCGCGGGGTAAAATTCCATTTAGTTGCTCAGAAGACTAAGAAAATAAGCAAAATCATACCAACAAAAATAAATGAAACTGAGACGAATTAAGCAAAGCGAAAACTACATGATCACTCTTGAAACCATATCGTTGATTACCTCTAACCGGGACGGGCGACGAAGAGTCGAGCTTCCAATCAGACAAGAAACCTCCTTCCACAAAAAGAGAATTTCTGGTTCGAGCCGCCGATGAAGACGACGATTTAGGATGTGGCTTAGATCCCCTGTTCACTTTCTTTGATTTGCCGGCGGGTGGTCTTCTCCTGTTACCCCCGCCCATGGCTTTGCCCTCACTGCTGACAGCCTGAGAGACTGTTTGATCTCTCTCTCTCTAATCGGTCTCTGACTCTTACTAACCTCCCAACCCTCCGTACGGTAAGATTGTCTGGACCGTCCGATGGATTCTTCGATCCGCGGCCAACCAACGGTGGGCTTGATGATGACGTAAGAAAATCTGGATAACAAAGTCGTCAACTGGGTCTGAAGATCATGGGTCTGCGGCCCATATTCCCGGCCCGGCCCAATATTGAACCTTGTCTAAGGCTAATTTATGGAACAAATTCAAAAGTTTTATATATAATTTTTTAAAATTGTATTTATTTCAATTTATTGTAACTAGATGGTAATACAATTTATATTTAAATTTACAAAAAATTACTTTATATTTTATAGTTTTTTCAATTAAAATATATAAGTGAATTTAATACAAATTATAAATTTATTCTAACATAAATAATTCTTTAAGCCATTCAAAATATATATTGCTTAATATTTTTTTTAACGAAAATCATAATTATTCATTAAAAAAAATTCTAAATTTAGTTACCGTAAAACTACGATATACTAATACATTAAGTTTTAAATCTAATACACTCGCGACACGTAATAATAATTATATATTTTCAATAAAATTCAAGATTTTCACTTGACTACTAAATTAGCATTATGGTGATCCCACATTTAGATATTTATATACAAGTATAGACATATATGCATAGGTATATATAATATACATATACATATACATATATATATATATAAAGAAGAAGAAAGACAAGTAATCAAATTGAAATTCTAACCCATTGGGTTGCCACCTTATATTAGCAAAACAAGTTAAGTAATTAATTTAATAAAGGCTTATGAAAAATAATAATTTATAAAGGATTAATGTAAAAAAAGTAGGTGAGAAAATTTACTTGGTCTTGAAATTTTCCATGCAATCTAACAAGAAATCGATTAATGTGTTAACGTGTTCGTATAATTTGGTGTGACCAAGTTAAACACTTACTTCTCGATTAATGAACATTAGCTCATATATATATATATATATATATGTTTAATTACTTCAACTTGAGTTTTGAACATTAAGAAATTTTCTCTTAATTATATATATATATATATATATATATATATATGTAGGGTTCATTTCTAGACAAATCTTTTAACTGTATACTCCTACCTCTTATATCACTCAACGGTCATTTAAGGGTCTTAGTTAGTGATCCGGACTGTTTTCCTCTCGACGATAAAGTTTATTCTCCATCGTGTCACTGACCGACCTTAACCCATATTACGTTAAGATCATATTTAGTATTCAGAGTTTGTCTTGATTTGGTACCACTCTCGGAACCTATATCAAAATAGTATTTTATTCCTAAATGTTCAATCAACTGCTCCGCTTCTAGGAATGAACCATCTAACTCGAAATTTCACTCCTAATCATTAATTTTGGCTAAAATATTTATATTATACCGTTGATATTATGTAATTATTATAAAATATTTTTATGTTGTAAAAATATAAGATATTCGTTAAAATTTAACTTAAACTTTATTAGTATAATATCATTAATACATTAATAAATTAAATTTTTTATTCCTATTTCATCATACTCAGCTTATATATAAATATATATATATATATATGTATATAGATGGAGGAGATACGTATGGAAACTTTTGATTTAAAAGAAAAGTGATGACAGCCCATTTCTTCCTGGTATATTTTAGTCAAGCTGCCTTTTGTACCAAACTCCATAACCCAATTTAATTTTATGATTTAAAACTATCAACTTAAGCTGTCCAAATTTTCCCCTTTTTTCCTTTATTAATACCCTTTTGCTAACTACAATCTCTCCTCCAATATATATATATATATATATATATTAGTAATGCATGTACATATGGGTCTGTCTATGTGGGTGTGGATGATGTATATTAGGTGTATATATATGCTATGGTTGAGTCTACAACTCTTAAGTTGAGATAAGATCATTTCCATTTTTGGGTGCCAATATTTCCATATATACAGAACAAAGAGGTATAAATACATATATATATATATATATATATATATATATATATATATATGCATATGCATATTCTTCTTTTGAGGCAATAGTGTAAGTTAATAATTTCTTTCTATGAATTGCACCCATCATACGAAGTAATTAAAATCCACCACCCTAGATAACTCGATTCAGCCTTCCCAAGAATATCCTAGTTATATACGTACATTTGTATATAATATAATATATACATATATATATATATATACGACTCCATAGAACTAAGCAGCTAATCACAAGAACTTGGGAAGACCGTACAATATGAGTCAATAAGTTCCAAACACTCCCTACAAAATTTGAACTTTAAAAAACTCTTTGCTTTCGAGGGAACCGATGTACAAAATATTGCTAGTAAGTGCCTACACCTCCATAAAGCAATATATATATATATGTATATGTATATTTGTAATTTTGTGCGTATGAACTCCACAAAGTAACACATGAGCCCTTGTTCGTAGTGCATATAAGTTTAGTTAATACAAGAATTCGACCGACATATTATTATACACATATCTATATAATATATATATATATATATATATCATG